GCTCGCGCAGCGCCCAATTGAAAATTGTTGTCGTGTAGAAGGACTCAGCAGAATATCTAACCTAACAAGTCCCAGGTTTCAGAAGCTTAGCGAAATCGTGGACAGACAAAATTTTCTTGCGGAGGCTTGGTTTGCACATGCTCCCGCGCACTCCTTCCGAAACCCATCGCTTGCTGTGGTCTCTGTGTGGTGTCTGTGGTCCTTCGAGATTGGATGAGCCCAACCGAGATCTAGTCTTTAAGAGAAAGAGCGTTGTTGCTTGCAACCTTGTAGCAACTCATCGACATCGACATTTTGCCTTTGGTTCGCTGTTTCCTCGAATAGCTTTGACAATAGATGCGGTTGATCTCATGAGTGAGCTCTGCATAGCGCCGCTCTCCTTCAAATGTCGGTGCCAGACCTCGGAGCGGGGTCTGTCAGACCACTGCCAGTGGTTAGCGTGCGCGAGTCAGCGGTCATCTGGGGGCAGAAGGTGCACGGAGAGGGCAGGCTGTTGCTACCTTTGTAGATCTTCCCCTGCCTTTACGAGGTTTTCCTACACACTTCTAGTGCGAATATTGGAAAAGGTGGTGGTCCAATGTCGCTTGCCGCCCCCTTTGCTTCTTGGCTTTTGTTGGTAGCGTTCTTGGAGGCTTCCCCCAGACATGCGATTGCATCATGCCAGGATCGAGAAGCAGCCCATGCAGCCTGGTACCGAGATCACTGCCAAGCTGCTCGTCCTGGACGCGGAGGAATGCAGGCTCAGGAGACTCACGCCCGAGCAGGTCCCATGGATAGAACGGGGGCGGGGAAGAACGAGGCGTGCTGTTAGTTCCTTTCAGTTTTCAGGTCGTGGCGAGGCGGAAGCTGGCAAGGGAGTTCCGATGTGGACCCGAAGTCAAGATGGAGGCTTGTCCCGGGGGTTCGAGTCCCGCTGCAGAGCTACCGAAACTCTGACTTCATGTCAGTTTGCGCATGTAGTGCTGCCAACGCAGGTCACGAGTCGAAGACAGACGACCGAACTTGAGACGTGCGAGCCGCGTCTTTGGGTCGAGGATGATGACGGTGTGCAGAGGGGCAAGGTCATAATATGCGCAGTGGTCATGAACTCCATCCTTGGCGGAGGATTGTGGGTACTGGCAGGTTATGTTGTGTTGGACGTGGCCGGCAAGAGCAAGGACGAGGAGGC